TTTTTTGAAACATCTTCAAGTGCTCCGACCATTTCACCTTTCGGTTCCATCACCATTTTTCCTGGAAATTGAGTTAACTGAAAACCAATGTCGAAGTGTGGCTTGCCATTCCCATGTACAGTAAGATGATTGTCTACAGAAACCAAGTGTATAAGACGTTCTTCGGATGAGAGAGGGTATCGCATTAAACACAACATATTTAGAATTGCAAACAGTCCAGCAGCCTCCATGCGCCGAAACAAATCTCGCTCTCGCACTCTGCTTGCATGTTTGTTTCCAAATTCACTCGCACTGATGCTCAAAATGCCGCACTTGATTGACAAGTGTACTCTCCCCTCCTGTTTCCAGATGCGTGGGGCAACTACTGGTGAATTCCGAGGGCAGACTGTGGAGGGGATCTGAACCTTCGAATTCGGCTCAAATGCTCCAAAGCCTGTTCCTCCGTTAAAGAATTCCCAACTTCGGCAACGGGACCTATTGTGGGCAGTCAAGAAAAAAAGAGTCTGCAGTCTACACCCTTGGAAGTTGAACATGCTCCATTGTCTATGCGTTATTGGGAAGCAGGATCTACATTGGCACCACTCACAGTCGAAGTAAGGTTTTGAAGCTAAGTGTCCGTCAAAACCTGTGAATCAAATCGGCCACCATGCGGAGGGGTTCTTAGCTTCCTCTCGCTTTCTAAATTATCTAGTCAAGCTACTAAGCTACCTCTTCGCTACCCTACCTCTCCTGCCCCAGACTCCCTTGCCTCCCAAAGGAGATCTTCTCAGATCTTAGAATCTAAGCGGTTGTATTCGATGCTGTCTCTCCAAAACAGCACGCAAGATGACTTCAAAACCTTGAACTTCCTGGTGCTTTGCCGAAACCGCCCAGTACATTTAGGGTGCACGATTCACTGCTCTAAATTCTCTTGAGGTTTCCATGATATCATATCCCTTCTCAAAAACGTTTTACTCGCCTCCCATGCGGCTCTGCTACTCCAAATACAACCGCATGTGCAAATGTGCAAAAAGCATCAAAAAGCCGCGTCTCGCCCCTGTACTGCATTTCTTCACCACGCACGTGGCAAGGGCAGAGAAGAACATTTCGTCTGCACCCCCCAAGGTTGAAGAGTCAATAAATGCTTCATGTCTTGGGCACCTATTTTCACCCAACCTTGTTGTCCATCCAAAATGGCCCTTGCAAGAGGGTAGCGGTAGCAGTGGTTGAAAACGTAACATAGATGTGTTGTTCAGTATATAGATGCTTTTGTATTGCATACGCTCAAGAAGGAAGCTTGTTTGAAACAGCCCCCACACTCCGTGGTGAACTGCCAGCTGGGCGAAGCTAGTGGCATTCTTCACCGGCGTCCTTTGTGCGTCTTCAAGCATTATTCACTTAAACTTAAACTGCTTCGAATCAACACAAATGGATACAAATGGTTCAATTAAGATCAAATCGGCAAAGCCTTCATAAACTCGAGATCATACTGCGCGGCCGGCTCAAGGCAATCAAAATCTCTGCTTTGCAGGTAAGAAACCTTGGATGCCTGGCGCCGTTTCCCTAGACCTGCTTCGCAGGATTGTGCATTCTAAATCAAGTCGAGCTGGCAGAGCCAAGACCTCTGCACGCACTTCCAGCTACGAAAACACAAGGGTGGCGCTATACCTCTAAAGATCCTACGACGCTGGCTGGATATGGCGGGATTGCCAATCCAAAATTTGAATGTAAGCCCTGTGTTGCTGCACTTGCTCCACCCTGATGTTACACATTACAGATCGTCGATTCCCAGCTTTTCACATAATCTCGTCATCATTTTCACGAGCAAGGCTGTTTTAAGCCTCTCGGCTGACACAGATTGACGGCTCTGTCGGCACTGGAAAATGGACATTGTCGTAATATAGAGTCACAGTGTTCTGTTTGCAAAAACTCATTTGCTAGAGCCTAGATTTACTATTATATACATTGCACAACAATCCTACAAGTTGGTCTAGTAACACTGGCCAAGTCATGCCCCAAAACACATTACATCTGAACAACTCTTCTAGGAGGGGACGCCCACCAGAGTCTCCGTGGTCTTTGAGGTTCCCTCAGTTCCTCATCCAGCCTGATGGCAATGATGTCGGTCTTCGACGCTGGCCCACGACATTTCAGTAGTCCATCGACCATTTCCTCCACCACATGAATCGGTGAAATCTTGATTGGAAAACTCTGCCAGCGATATAGACGCTCACTGTCTAAGAACTGCCGCTAAGAACTTTCAATCCCGTATTTGGCTGTCAGACAGTTCTTTTCTTTCATGCAGGAGTCTGTCTTACAATCCAGATCCATGGTTGTTTGCAGATATACGCAGACGCAATGGCCTTGACGCTTCACTTTTCTTGCAGCATGTTTGGCATGCTACAACACAAGGTTTCCCCGCCAATGTGTCTGGAAATTGCATATCTATATCGTGCTCCAATTAATAGATAGAAATGTCACTATCCCTATTTGATATAGACAACCCAGTCTTCTGGATGCCTCAAACTCGAGCTCTCCGCTGAGGTCAGCGTCGAGGACATCGAAAAGGTCAAACTTGCAGGACAAATCGATCTCAGAGTCATCCAGCCTGGCAGCCCGTGGGGATGACTCCAACTGTCCGCAAGATTTCACAAGTTGTGGAAGTCCTCCGGCCAAACTCCAAGAGAAGAAGTCCTGAACTCTCCAAATCACCCCTAGCTCTGACCAGTCTCTTAGAGACAACTGACAACTGCCTTCTGTTTGAAGAAGGGACAATGTGATGGAAAGGGGCCTGTGATGCAAAAAATGAGACATAGCCACGTTGTTGGAAAATGCATGCAACAACTAACCATAAGGACGATGACGATGCTCTCGCTGGGAAGAAACAATTGCAGCTTTGATTCTTCCAATAAGTTTACACAGTACGTGTCAGGGTTCAGATCTGGAGTGTCTTCCCACAATCGCGCAAGCTCTTAGAACCGCGATATTGTGCCTGCCGATGAATTCCTTCTCAGTCGTGAGCCAGTGGTTGAACTGATCTTTCGTCACCACCTCAAGCAGTGCACCGCGGCACCGCTTGGATGGATGGATCCCATTTGGATGGATGCTCAGGACGTTCGCTGGCTGTTTGGAGCACAAATGCACCAACCTTCAGCTCAACACCTGGAGTCCTTTGTTCGAAGGATAGAACAGGCTTATATAACCTGAATGCATTCATCTCAAAAGGCCAGAATAGCACAAGCAAGGATAGTCGTAAGGATCAAATGTTTCGGAAACCCCAAGATTACAATTCTAATTAAATTCTTATTGTTACTAGTAAGGCACTTGTTTCTAATAGCTTCTTGTTACTACTAGTAAGGCACCTGTTACTACTAGCGTGCACCTGTTACTAGTAGCTGATTGGCCAATGGACTGTTGAACTGATATCTTGACCCTCTGATTCGCCTCTGCCCGGAAGAGCAGCGTCCACCGCCCGGCCAAGCGGCAATGTCGCGTTCCGCCATCTCGTCCCGAATTTTGTCTGTGAGTTCATTGTATTCTTCGGTCGTGTGTGGCTTGTAGCCTCAGAATTCATTTCTGGTGTGCTCTGTAACTGGAGTCTATTACGAGTTCTTGGACTATCCAAATGTTCCAAGTCTTTTCTTCCTTCAGCAATCGCTATTGGGTCTCTTGGCGCATCGCAAGCTGAGTATCGCACCATACATCTCCTGGAGAGCTAAGAGCTTCTCGTTGAGGGTATTGGAAATGCGTCTCCCATCGTTGCCCTCAGTTGGTTTGGTGCCGCTTGAGTCTTCTTCGGGTCTTTAGATGTTTTAGAGCTTGAGGGCTTGCTGAAGAGTCCCAGCAAAGGCCTTCAGTCGTCCGAAACAAAGTGGCGGTCTTTCTCCTCCCCTCGTCGAGGATGTGTGTCGATGTTTCTTCCAAATGGCTCTTGGACAAGGGAGAAAAAAAGGCCCAGCCTTACGAAGGACCAAGGGTGATCTGACAGCATCTCTCATGCATTCAGGGTGTTTCAAGTCATTAAAAGTGGTTGTGCGAGCCCTATCCATTGGATTCCTCTCTTCAACTGGTCTGCAAGCTACGGCCAAGCTGCCCCATTTCGTTCATCCTCTTTGAGCTCCTCCTCAGCCTGTCAAAGTGCCGATCATTATCAAGGTCCAAACATCTGCGTCACCAAAAAGATCCTAGTTCAGTTACTGACTTAGTAGAATGATATACTCCATAAAAAACGAAGTCCGAGGCCTTCTCAGTTAAGTAAAGATCATCTGCATTCGTGACACCCATGTCTGTTCGCACCGAAACGAATCCACGAAGCAAAGCTTCAACGAATCCAAACGGCCCTCCTTCGGGACCTCATGGTGACTGGCTCAATTCCCATTCCCAACCAGCTGGCCTCCCTCTTTAGGAGATTCACCAGGATTATGTGTCTGAGAGTGTTTGCTATGACCTGAGCAATGCACCGGTTGCCATATGTTTCAATGCTAACGCACCGCCAACAACACAAAACGAGCCTTTTGGTGTCACAGGTCTTTGGATCAAATCCCTGGACTATGGAGTTTGTTGTACCAATCTGTCCGGGAACTCAGTAATCCCCCCCCGGTTGGGTAGCAGTCAACTCCTCTTCCTGCCTACATGTCTGAAGTTGCCCTCATTAAAACCAGCATCCCAAGAAAGGGTGCTGGCAGTGCTCCAACCGCGGTTCGTTGACAGACCTCAAGCTCCCACCAACCATGTGCCGTGCCACATACTCCGTCTTGGGCGCATTCTGCCCCAGCTGGCGTTGTCTCTTCTTCGTGCTGCCATCGGTCACATTGTCAATGAACACTGCCATGATCAAGTTGAAAATCCCGATGGTGACCTAGTTGAGCAAAGCATCGCTCACGGCGTCGAAAACAACGGTTGACTTCATCGACGTGAGATGACTGGCACACGGCCTGACACGGCCGTTCCGGTGCGGTTGTTTCAGATCTTTCGGAGTGTGAGACCCGACCAGAACACGAATGGGGCTGTTGAGCTTTGACACAGTGAATGACTGGTGCTGCTGTGGCGGGGCTTTGCTGGCTGGGACACTATAAGGCGAAGGTTGCAAACACTCGAACCTGCGAATATCTTGCGGGGAACTTAGGCGTCTTGCCAGAACTTTGCCGCTCCGCAGCTTTTCATGGCATGTTCTTGTCCTTCCCTTTTCCTTGCAATGAGATCAGGCAAAGAAATCCTAAGGTCCTATCCTAACCCCTTAAACATAAGGACTTGCCGTGAGCAATGACCGACGGCTAGTGTGACAACAGCGAGCAACTGCATTGCCCACAAAAACAGCCAACAAGGTATATTGATATTCATTTGACAATTGGCAAAGAAAGGCAGGGAGGATACAAAAAGCATACACTGTAATACACTGTTCAGTCTCAACACACAAAATGGACGCATGGTACAAGAAGCAGGCACATTGTTTTGCGGTGTGCCAACTCCGGGTCAATCCACACTCTCGAAGCTCCAACAAAGAAACCAAGCAGGATCGAATAGGAGGATACAGGAGGGACAGAACTGTCATGGTTGAACAAAGAACTCCCGCACAACATGTGACAGTAGCCTGAGTGTTCGCATCTGTACTGGAGACCCCACACCAAGGTTTTGAGATTGCCAAAACGGCAGTGAACGACAGCAAAAAATTGAGGTTCACATATGGTGCAGATCCCAGGAGCGTCTTCAAGCCCGGTATCACAAACCTTGATCAAAAATATCTAACATCTGGTCTACATGGCTTCGTTTTGGGTGCCTAGAAGCCGGCGTTATCTGCAAGTGGAAGTACAGTAGGGTTGGAAAGCTGAAAGAAACGGCTGCATCAATTGACGGCCATGCCAAATCAGCATCCCTCCCTCTGGTAGCCCCCCCACTCGGAGGTCCATGTCGCTGAGCCAGGGACGAAGCCAACAACCCCGGAAACTCACGTTCAGCAAACTACCTTCAACAATGTGTACACTGATTTTTACACCCCGTTAGAGTTGGCGGTGTTGCCATGACTTTGGAGTGCTGAGAACCAGAGGGTGCCTTTGTGAGGCCAACAAAGGTTTCCTAGGATGCATCGCACCGAAAACGAGTATGTGTGCCTCTGAAAAAAACAAAGTGCAGGCTACCTTGCGTGATATTTGAGCACAAAGTGCTACAGGTGTGTTTGGAAACTCTACTCTTTGGGGCCAACTTCAAAGTCCTCTTCAGCTCTTCACTGGAGATTCTCTATGTGTGTGGCGGCATTTATATATTTGGTATTTAACTCAAATACACTATCTATTGTGTGGGGGCCCTATCTCGTTCACAAGCGAATACTGATCATAGACAATCAAATAGAGCATGCCGTAGACTACTTTAGTAAAGCCTGAAAAACAATGGTTGCTCATGTGAGGCATGTCAATGGCTTCCGCCAATACAACTCAGTGCCAAGGAGCGAAAAGAAAGAGAAGGATGTACGCAAACCTCAGCGTGCTCAGTTATCTTCCCACAGAATCTTTCATCGACCGCCCTAGCGACTTCTCGGATGAAACCCTAGTGGCATAAAGATTCCGCCCATGTCAGAGTTCATGCGCAACTGCTCCTGCAAGGGCCTCCCTTGATAGTCGGAACAGCCATCCTGGGTGCGGCTTGAAACAATCTCTTCAACTGATAGGCATGAATCAACGAAGATTCCATTGCTTGGTTGCCTCCATTCCATTGAAGATCGATTATGGTTGGCTATATTTGGTTTTAAAGCTTGGAGCACACTTAAACCAAGAAGTTGAAAGGATTGCTCTCACTTCCCGAGCATCTGTGAAGCATCTGAAGGAGGTGAACATCGCTGCAGGCACAGTTTCAAACCTCAAAGTCTGGAGTCTGGACGCGTCGCTTTGGACACTGAGTCTGAGGTTTATCATTAGCGCGAGCGCTTCTTCAAGGAAGCTTCCCCGCAGCGTTCAGGGCGTCGGGGGAGCTTTCTTGAAGAAGCGCGAGCTATCCTGCGTCTTAAGTAGTAGATACTTGTAGATACTAGCTACCTCCTATCGTTGCTACCTCTACGGCCTACCCCCCAAAAAAGAAGTAGTAGTAATAATAGTAACAATAATAGTAATAAATAAAGAAATAAATCTAAATAAATATATACTCCCCGGAAAACTAACATAGCACTCAAAATCCAAAAAGTGCTATTTAAACGTGGGTATGCTCACCGTTTAAGTTACTGGCGAAAAGTGGATTCAGGGGTTGCAGGGGCTCATGGTATCAAAGAAATTTAACGTAGATCTGAACTGGCCAGTAGTAGTAGAACCTTCGACCTGGCGAGAGGCCCGTTGGCCCAGCTCCTTGAAGAGCAATATATGTTAACATGGAACCTGAGAAGAGATTCATGTTTGGCCTCCACAGGTGCCACGTTAGCGTTTTTGCAAAATCTGAAAAGTGCTTTGTTTGTTTGTTCTTGCGCAAAATTGAGACGGTGGTCCTGTTATTTCTGGGGAAGTCCCTGGTTCAACAGGGTCTAGCGCAAGTTGGATCCTGGGTGCCTGCTTTTCAGTTTTTTCCTCCAGATCTCATTAACATGGCAGCTGGTATAGACCCTCCAAATCGTTTCTGCAGCTATTTAAACGTGTTCAAAAAAAAATATATATATATATTTTTTTTTGAACACGTTAGTTTTCCACGGTGTAAATAATAAATAAACA